GGTCCGCGGCCATTTTCCCGCCCGTACCACGTGGTCCGCGGCCATTTTCCACCCGTACCACGTGGTCCGCGGCCATTTTCCCGCCCGTACCACGTGGTCCGCGGCCATTTTCCACCCGTTCCACGTGGTCTGCGGCCATTTCCCGCCCGTTCCACGTGGTCTGCAGCCATTTTCCGCCCGTTCCATGTGGTCCGCGGCCATTTTTCCACCCCTGACACGTGGTCCGCGGCCATTTTTTCCACCCTGCTGCGTGGTCAGCGGCCGTTTTTCCGCCCCTGATGCGTGGTCCGCAGACGCCGGAACGGATTAAAGGTAATTACATTGAACCTTATGGGAAAATTTACTTCGACTTGCGACCAACTTGACTTGCGATCAGAGTCACGGAACGGATTAAGTTCGTAAGTAGAGGTACCACTGTACTGAATACAATAAAATTAAGGTTATTAATGACTATATTTTTCATTACCTTCACTTAGACACAGAGCAAAATCATACGCATGGGAAGTCACACTTGGTTCCATACATTTGTTTAATATTCCAGCCTAAATAACAATTAGTTTTAGATGGATCTGATGAAATAGAACAAAACTCAATTTCTGTCATAGTTGCCAGACTTACTTTTAAATTAGAAAGATAGGTTGTCTCCAAAGAACCTTAGTTTATTTAAATCAAGAAAGCATACAAAAATACCAGTACGATTTAAATTCAGGTACTGCAGCAGAACTGGCCATGGTGAAAATTGATGGACAAAAAAAATAAAATAAAAGCAGCTACTGAGCATTTTCCCTCATTCATTCAGCTGAATTTTAAAAGATGTTTGCTAGTTAATGAGCTTAGCAATTTCCATTCTGTGGAAATAGTTGTTCTGCTGTGACTTGCTATTTTGGGGGTCCCAAATTATGGCTTTCAGTTGGCAAGCGTGCTTGTGGTTGAACAGTTTCTTTCCTGCCTTCATGTTTACAGTCAATACTGCGTGCTTCTGAGGTCCTGGCTGAGCACCATTTTGAACAGCCTATCAACAAATAGCGCAGGCTTCTTGCTTGCCTATTTGCTCAACTGTATTTGGAATGGGTCCTTTGTAGAGGGGAAAAAAGGCAACGAGGAGAGTGAGCATCACCCATTGTCCACTCACATCTGTGGAAAGTCCTGGTCCTTCTTTTGCGCAGGTCAGAAGCCAGTTTCTGATAGCCTCGCCAGAACATATTTGCCCTTCTGATCCAAATTGCTCTTATGATGGATAGAGTGCCAAAGGAATGAAGTTAATACCATCCCATAAATCTAGAAAAAATAAATAAATGAAAAGGCAACAAACATTTGAAAATATATAGGTTAAATAGAACATTTCTGCACCATTCTTCCAAGCTATCAGAACAGCAGAAACAAAATGCAATTAAAACAAAACCAGCCTTTTGAATTAGGAATAGGGTACTGTTTTAGACCAAGGTCCACATTTTCTCATGGATAACTTGTTGGAGGATGCATGACAAAGCCAGAAGTGTGTGGGGCCAAGCCACATCAACACCCCACACAACATCTATTCATGTATCCTCCCCATGCGCGTGCATTTTATCTCCTCTCCTTCCTCAGTATATAAAAATGCTCAATCTATTCTGTAAACCCAAACTGTCAATTGTTGAAATAATTTAGAAAAGGGAAGCCTTTCAGAAAAGTAAGCAGAGAGATCTTTTTCATCTCTTCCAGGAAAAGGCCCCCTAGTCCTGGAGCAGATGGCCAAAAAGGTATTCTAAGCAATTGCTGAACCAGCTACTGCTGTTCAAACCAGCTTCAGGTTGGCCAAGAGAATAACACTTGCTGACTAAATCTCAGTTGGAGAAGCCGTTTCAGTGGGAAGAGGTACTCCTTATGAATAGAAAAATGCTGATCAATGGGTTGACAGTGCATACCATTAGCAGGAAGGAGTGACTTGCAAAGCATTGCTACACACTTAATAATTCTATGAAAAATGGAAAGATACAGTAGATGCGGGGGAAGAGGCAAATGTTCTTTCCAAAGGAGAAGATCAATTCTTTATGTTCTTAAAACATAATTAGGAAATGTTGTAATCTTTCATATTAATTCTTATCCTGCTATCCCATCTTTCTTCTCAAAGCAATTTCCCAGCAACCCATTTCTTTTATACCCTAGAGTAGCTACCGGCAATTAAAGAAATCAATAATAAAATGCAATAAAGGTCTAAAAGGGGAGGGAGCAACAGAATGGGATAAAGCAGATGCAGATGATGCAATTAGATGTATATGTGTGGACTTTCTGCCCTTAAATCCAGTTTAATCCTAAACCAACTACAAAAAAGAATATATAAGTGTTGGATCAACACTTTGATCCAGCCATCATGATTTGGAAAAAAAAAAAAAAAAAGCAAGTTTATCTTAAGAAACTGCCGTGGGGGGCAGCTTTAGCTGACCTCAGTGCCAAAATCCAAGTAATTTTTTTTT